GGGACTGTCCTTCCGGGAGCTGGGGCCAGCACAACTGCAGACACAAGGAGGACGCGGGAGTTCTCTGCTCAGGTCTGTTCTGTGAATGCTCTTTTGAGCCGTGTTACCAGGGGATTTAATGGAGGGAGCAGATGTTTAAGGAGATCGCTGAGAATGATACTCTCTCTGACTGTCTCTGCCTCCCTTCCCTTTTGTAACTACCTACCAGGGTCACCATTAGAAAGTCCTCAGCTCCTACCCAGAGGTATTGGAGATATTGCAAGATTTCCCTAATGTTAGAATGCTGCGTCTCAGGTATTTGAAGAACACAGCATCATGGAAACCAGCGACTGAAAAGGATGTAGGGTCCTAGTAGAGAAATAACTGAACATAAGCTCCCAGTGCCCTGTGTGGCAAAACGGGCTAATGCGAACCTTGGATGTATAAACAGGGGAGTAGTGAATAGGATTGGGGACTAAATGTTACTGTTGTGTTGGCACTAGTGAGACAGGTACTGGATACTGTGTCCAGGTCTGATGTCCACAAAAATTGGAGAGGGAGCAGGGAAGAGCCACAAAAGTCATCTGAAGGCTTGAATAAAAGCCTTACGGTGAGAGATTTAAGATGCTGAATCTGTTCAGCTTATCAAAATGATCAAGAGGTGACTTAATTACGGTGCATAAGTTCCGTCACAAGGAGAACATACACTTACTAAAGGGGTCATTAATCTAATGGAGGAAGGCAGAACAAGAGTTGATGGCTGGAAGCTGAAACCAGACAAATTCACATCAGAAATAAGGCCCAGGTTTTTAACAGGGAGGGTGATTAACCATCAGAACAAACTACCAGGGAAATGCAAAAAGAACAGGAGTACTTGTGTCACCTTAGAGACTAACAAATGTATTAGAGCATAAGCTTTCGTGGGCTACAGCCCACTTCTTCGGATGCAGCCCACGAAAGCTTATGCTCTAATAAATCTGTTAGTCTCTAAGGTGCCACAAGTACTCCTGTTCTTTTTGCGGATACAGACTAACACGGCTGCTACTCTGAAACCTACCAGGGAAATAGTGCATTCTGCATATCTTAAAGTCTTCCTGTCTAGACTGGATGCCTTTCTGGAAGCTATGCTTAAGTCAGACTCAAGTTATTAGGCTTTATGTAGCTGTTTTACAGAAGGTCAAACTATCACGCTGTTTTGAGTGGCTCACAGCACTGAGTGCCCACCTCAGCGCAGATGGTGAGAAACAAGGCAATACCCCAAACTGGTGGTGTGTCTATAAGTAGATTTAACCAAGACAGTAACAGATGTGAACTCCTGGACCAATGTTCCCTCTAATTTTTCACATCCATGTGTGGAATGAATGATGTTATGTGCATCGGTATAGAGGTGATGTGTGGTGCGGTGGGGCTGAGGGGTTTGGACTGTGGGAGGCGGCTCAGGGATGGGGCAGAGGGTGGTGGTGCATGGGGTGAGGGCTCTGGCTGGGGGTGTGGGCTCTGGAGTGAGGCCGGGGATGAGGGTTTTAGGGTCATGAGGGGGCTCAGGGCTCGGCAGAGGGTTGGAGTGTGGGGGCTGAGGGCTCTGGCTAGCGGTGAGGGCTCTGTGGTGGGGCTGAGGATGAGGGGCTCATGGTGAAGGACAGGGTCAGGGCTGGGGCAGAGGGTTGGAGTGTGGGGGATGAGAGCTCTGGCTAGGGGTTAGAAATCTGGGGTGGGCCCGGGGATGAGGGCCTCATGGTGCAGGAGGGGGCTTAGGGCTTGGGGCAGAGTGTTGGAGTACGGGGGGTGAGGTCTCTGGCTGGGGATGTTGGCTGTGGGGTAGGGCCATGGATGAAGGTTTAGGGTGCAGGCTGCTCTGGTGCTGCAGCAGGAAGAGAGGACTCCCCCACTCTCTTGCTGCAGCAGCCTGGGACCAGGGGAACATAAGAACATAAGAATGGCCATACTGGGTCAGACCAAAAGTCCATCTAGCCCAGTATCCTGTCTACCGACAGTGGCCAATGCCAGGTGCCCCAGAGGGAGTGAACCTAACAGGTAGTGATCAAGTGATCTCTCTCCTGCCATCCATCTCCACCCTCTGACAAACAGAGCCTAGGGACACCATTCCTTACCCATCCTGGCTAATAGCCATTAATGGACTTAACCTCCATGAATTTACCCAGTTCTCTTTTAAATGCCGTTATAGTCCTAGCCTTCACAACATCCTCAGGCAAGGAATTCCACAAGTCGACTGGGCGATGTGTGAAGAAGAACTTCCTTTTATTTGTTTTAAACCTGTTGCCCATTAATTTCATTTGGTGGCCCCTAGTTCTTGTATTATGGGAATAAGTAAATAACTTTTCCTTATCTACTTTCTCCACATCACTCATGATTTTATATACCTCTATCATATTCCCCCTTAGTCTCCTCTTTTCCAAGCTGAAAAGTCCTAGCCTCTTTAATCTCTCCTCATATGGGACCTGTTCCAAACTCCTAATCATTTTAATTGCCCTTCTCTGAACCTTTTCTAATGCCAATATATCTTTTTTGAGATGAGGAGACCACATTTGTAAGCAGTAGTCAAGATGTGGGCGTACCATCGATTTATATAAGGGCAATGTAAGGGAGTTGACTCCTGCTGATTGTCCATGGGAATTAGCTCATCCCAGCTCAGGAGCGCCCTCTGCAGGCCAGTGATCCACTACTGCTTGGCCCCCGTGTCCCTCCCTGCACTCCAATGCCCTTTTAGCTGGGGTGCTGCCCCTCTGGCAGTACCCCCACACTCTGGGTCTCCCCACCCAGGGGAACCCTCACCCACTAACCCCACCTCGCCTCGCCTCAGTGTATGGCTACTGCCAGTCACCATCTAGCCCCACTCCCTGGGGCAGACTGCAGTATACGCCACTCATCACAGGCAAGGTTGGGTTTGGACCTGCGGCTTTTGCCTACCCCTGGGCTGCCCTCTGCAACCCTCAGTGACTATTAGCCCAATGCTAGGCCGCAGCCTGGGGAATTCCAGGCTGGAGTTCCCCAGTTCCTCTGCCTTTCCCCAGGCCTGCTCCACTCAGGTACCCTGTCTCTAGCTCCCTGCAGCCAGGCCCTTCTCTCTCTGAATGCAGAGAGAGAGAGTCTGTGTCTACCCCTGGCTTCCCTGTCTTTATAGGGCCAGCTCAGGCCTGCTTAGGGTGTGGCCCAGCTGCGGCTGCTTCCCCAATCAGCCTAGTAGATTTTCCCCTGCCCCAGCCCTCTCCCAGGGCTGTCTTTAAACCACTCGGGGCAGGAGCGGGTAACCACCCTGCTACAGGCAATGATATATTCTCTGTCTTATTCTCTCTCTCCTTTTTAATGATTCCTAACATCCTGTTTGCTTTTTTGACCACCTCTGCACACTGCGTGGATGTCTTCAGAGAACTATCCATGATGGCTCCAAGATCTTTTTCCTGATTTGTTGTAGCTAAATTAGCAGCCATTGTATTGTATGTATAGTTGGGGTTATTTTTTCCAATGTGCATTACTTTACATTTATCCACATTAAATTTCATTTGCCATTTTGTTGCCCAATCACTTAGTTTTGTGAGATCTTTTTGAAGTTCTTCACAGTCTGCTTTGGTCTTAACTATCTTGAGCAGTTTAGTATCATCTGCAAACTTTGCCACCTCACTTTTTATCCCTTTCTCCATATCATTTATGAATAAGTTGAATAGGATTGGTCCTACGACCCTTGGGGAACACCACTAGTTACCCCTCTCCATTCTGAAAATTTACTATTTATTCCTACCGTTTGTACCCTGTCTTTTAACCAGTTCTCAATCCATGAAACGACCTTCCCTTTTATCCCATGACAACTTAATTTACATAAGAGCCTTTGGTGAGGGACCTTGTCAAAGGCTTTCTGGAAATCTAAGTACACTATGTCCACTGGATCCCCCTTGTCCACATGTTTGTTGACCCCTTCAAAGAACTCTAATAGATTAGTAAGACATGATTTCCCTTTACAGAAACCATGTTCACTTTTGCCCAACAATTTAGGTTCTTCTATGTGTCTGACAATTTTATTCTTTATTATTGTTTCAACTAATTTGCCCAGTACTGGCGTTAGACTTACCGGTCTGTAATTGCCGGGATCATCTCTAGAGCCCTTTTTAAATATTGGCATTACATTAGCTATCTTCCATCCATTGGGTACAGAAGCCGATTTAAAGGACAGGTTACAAACCATAGTTAATAGTTCCACAATTTCACATTTGAGTTCTTTCAGAACTCTTGGGTGAATGCCATACGGTCCCGGTGACTTGCTACTGTTAAGTTTATCAATTAATTCCAAAACCTCCTCTAGTGACTCTTCTATCTGTGACAGTTCCTCAGATTTGTCACCTACAAAAACCGGCTCAGGTTTGGGAATCTCTCTAACGTCCTCAGCCGCAAAGACTGAAGCAAAGAATCCATTTAGTTTCTCCGCAATAACTTTATCGTCTTCAAGCACTCCTTTTGTATCTCGATCATCCAGGGGCCCCACTGGTTGTTTAGCAGACTTCCTGCTTCTGATGTACTTAAAAAACATTTTGTTATTACCTTTTGAGTTTTTGGCTAGCCGTTCTTCAAACTCCTCTTTGGCTTTTCTTATTACATTTTTACACTTAATTTGGCAGTGTTTATGCTCCTTTCTATTTACCTCACTAGGATTTGACTTCCACTTTTTAAAAGATGCCTTTTTATCTCTCACTGCTTCTTTTACATGGCTGTTAAGTCACGGTGGCTCTTTTTTAGGTCTTTAACTGTGTTTCTTAATTTGGGGTATACATTGAAGTTGGGCCTCTATTATGGTGTCTTTAAAAAGCGTCCATGCAGCTTGCAGGGATTTCATTTTAGTCACTGTACCTTTTAATTTCTGTTTAACTAACCCCTTCATTTTTGCATAGTTCCACAAATGCCACAGTGTTTGGCTGTCAAGATGTTCTTCCCACCACAGGAATGTTAAATGTTATTATATTATGGTCACTATTTCCAAGTGGTCCTATTATAGTTACCTCTTAGACCAGCTCCTGCGCTCTACTCAGGACTAAATCGAGAATTGCCTCTCCCCTTGTGGGTTCCCGGACCAGCTGCTCCAAGAAGCAGTCATTTAAAGTATTGAGAAATTTTGTCTCTGCATTTCGTCCTGAGGTGACATGTTCCCAGCCAATATGAGGATAATTGAAATCCCCCACTATTATTGAGTTCTTAATTTTGATAGCCTCTCTAATTTCCCTTAGCATTTCATCGTCACTATCACTGTCCTGGTCAGGTGGTCGATAATAGATCCCTAATGTTATATTCTTATTAGAGCATGGAATTACTATCCATAGACATTCTATGGAACATGTGGATTCACTTAAGATTTTTACTTCATTTGATTCTACATTTTCTTTTACAAATAGTGCCACCTCCCCCCCCCCCCCGCCCCCCCCCCTTCTTTCTCTCTTTTTTTTTTTTAAAAATGGCCCCCCCCCCCCCCCCCCCCGCACGACCTGTTCTATCCTTCTGATATATTTTGTACCCTGGAATGATTGTGTCCCATTGAGTGCCTCAGTCCACCAGGTTTCCGTGATGCCTATTATATCAATAT